TATTCAATCATGTTGTGTGCATTGCAGGCTGGCTTAGTAATAAAAATAATTTCTGACTTTAATTGACCTCCGGTCTAAGGAGTCAGAGAGGCCGTTTTAAACCTTACACTTCTTTTTTGGGCTTTAAATATCCTGGATAGTGCAACATATGTGTAACATTGGAAGCTTAGGAAGAAGGAGACACAGCTATTTTTTTTCTGGTTGTTTGAAAAATTTTGATGAAATTATATTTGCATGTGACTAGAAAATTTGGAGGGTATAGGTTAAAACTTAAAAATTTAGTGAGCTTGAACTCATTATATGCAGTGGAGCCAACTTTTGCTGCACTTCTGGTGAAAACTGCTGAAAAATATTCAACAAACTATAATGCTACAATTTATTTGCCCTGAATACATCTCTTAGCCTAACTGAAATGATGGTAGCCTCTGGTTTTTGTGGAGTCAATACTCAGTCTGTGCTAGAAATACCAATATGTTCCATGCTTGTCAACACTCATCTCATGCAATGCCAGTAGAACTTTACTTGTGTATTTTTTACATATAATTGTTGTAATATTACTGAGATCCCTATTAACTCATTATTTTTAGGGCTATTTGCATTGCTAGCCACTAGCAAAAGGAACATTTATCCTATTTAACATTCTGCGGTTTCACAGGAAACTGATCTTTATTCCATTACAGAAAGAGGTGTTGAGTGCAGGGGTCTGTTCAGTTTCAAACACTTTGATATTGCGTGAAGAAGGGATGTGTGCCATTCCTTAGGGATTGAAATACCTATGTCAGTCCTTTTCACAGCTTGGCACTGGATGCCTGGACCTAAAAAAGCCATAATTTCCAAAGTAAATTTGTCTGCTGAAGAGTAAGCAAACACTTAACCAGGATTCCTAGGCAAAACAATGTGGCAGACATTGGTTTCTGGTGACCTGAATTTGTACAGCTTGCAGTTGGGGGTATGCTTTGATGCTCTTGGCAGAGGAAAAAGTATTTGTGTCTCTCTGTATATTTGCCTTTACCTTCCTTTGAATTTCCTTTTCATTTAAGATTTATTTGTATTACTTTGTTCGTAAGCACCATAAATGTTTTCAGTCCCAACAGGACAAATTGAATGAAGCAACAGCATTGAATTGTTGTTGAACTTTGAAGCTATCATCTGGTTTTCCTTTATTTTTCCCTGTTTATTGAACACCCACTGTTCCATTTCTTAATGTTTCTTTTTCTGTTCCTTGTTGCTTATGCCACTGCTTTCCTCACTCTTTGTGCTTGTGTGACAGACAGAAACAAATAAAGGCTGCTTTTGAGATGAAAAGTGCAAACCTTCTTACTTGTGCTTTTATTTACCTCCTTACCAGCGTGAAAACTAAGTGGTTGCAGTGTGGTTGCCATTGTTGGATGTCCATTCTGCTTTTATGGGACACATTTCATCCATTAGACTCTTCAGAATTCACAGAAACTGATGTCCTTTTTCTTCAAGTCTGATAGAGTTCTGAATTCACTCAGTGAGCTAATGATAGCAACTGAGAACTTCTTTATGTGAGACAATAAGGGATTAATCACAACCAAATATTCATTAAAAAAAGAGGAAGTGCAGAATCAGAGTTATTTGCTCAGTGTCTAAAATGTCTAAAAACTACATTTAAGAAAAAGGGTAAAATCTAAGCAAAAAGGTATTTTTAGTGACTGACGAAGATTGTAATTTATTTTGTTTTCAGGGTGGAGCAGAACATAATATTCCAGTGGTCATTTCTAAGATTTCCAAAGAACAAAGAGGTGGGTATCAGTTATCAGCTTATTGCACTAATTACATTAAGGTACCCTTTAAAGAAAGATATATTAAATCTTGAGATTCTTTACTCAATGTTAAATAAATAGTATTTTCAAATTCTTTCTCTCCCATGTCTTTATGATCTCTCTCTTCCTCAGAAACTTTTTCCAGAAAAGTACAGAAGGGATATTGGGAATAGTTTTTAAAGTCTTCAACGTGTATATATATATATATACATATATATATATATATATATATATATATATATATATTTAGGAAAGATTATTGCAAAGCATTATTTTTAATATGAGAAATAGGAAGGTATAAATAGAATGAAAATGATTAACAAATTTAACAAAAGGCAATGATTTAGTGGCTTTGACCTCCCAGTAGTTATTTTGTGGAAGATGTAGCAGATGAAATGTTTGGCTCTTAAATCATGGTAACACAGCAGGGGAATGCATGACTTTTTAACCTGGTTAGTCAGGTAGTATTGAGGCATAAAGTCTTGACCATACTTATTTTTAATAATAGCAGAGCTGGTGCTGAGTTTCTGTATTTTTAACTGGCAACATTTTGAAATTATTGGAATGATACATGGATAATAGTTAAACAGTTCAAGATGTGCACAGTTTTGAGGAAGGTTATGAACCAGTGCTAATATGGGGTACTTAATATCTTTGTTATGTTTATATGTACTTGTGTAAAGCCAGAAAAACAAACTTGGGAACATTTCTCTCCATCTGTAATGCAATAATTCTAGAACTCAGCTTCTTCTCAACTAAAATGTGCCAGCATAAAAAAAAAAAAGTCTTGTATTCACCCCCTCATATAAAGAGAGGTATGGAAGATTCAGCATATTGAGAGCCAAAAGCCAGCCCTGAAAGGCAGATGTGAAAGCTGGATTAAAGGAGAATAAGGAGTAGCATGAAATGAGCCCCTAAGGAAGGCAATAAGGTTAACCTTAAGAAGTTATACTTCTGACTACATTGTTTTCAGTATACATGTAACTAATACATAAATATGTGGCATATTTTACATGCAGTAACTATTAAAATGATATTAAGCACTGCAGGAAGAATAAGAAAGATATACTTAAGTTTAATTGAGCACATAGAAGTGCAATTTTATTTCTGTAATAACTTTTTTTTGCTGCAGTAGCTGTTGCATTGTTTCTAGCCCCAATACCTAGCTGGGATATAATCTTCATTACTGCTTTCAATAAAAATACTGCGGATTTTTAGAGAGCTAGTTTTGAGGGACATCTCTTTTGTAGGAGACTGCTGTCTTGAGATGTGGAAAGTGTTATGCTCTGTTCCTGGACTAGAGAAAATGCTGTTTGACCCAAAGCCTATGCCTCGAAATAAATCAGAATGTCTGTTTTGCAATAATTTAACCATCCATTGTTAAATATAGCTCATAGGACCACTCCTTCAAGCACGGACTTGACTATCATAATTTATGTCAATATTGGTTCCAGTTTTACAGCTCTTGTAAAAAAGTTTAGTTTTTGGATCAAGTGCAATACTATCTTTTTCCAGACAGTATCTTCTGTGATAATATGGAATACCATAAGTAATAATCACAAGTAATCTGTTAATATCTCTTAGTTCTCATGTTGGGGGTTATTAATGCCTTTATAGACATTTAAATAATCTTTGTTATATTTCTGGTATAGTTATAAGGTGTATTTGAATGAGATAGCTCTGAAATAGAGCAAAGTGTTTAAAAATTGGAAGCGCAGAATTAGGTTTTATAAATGTCTTTGTGATGCAGCTTTGTTTTAAAAATCACATTCCGTTGGGCTGGTGAATTTTTTACAATATATTTATTTTCTAGCTCTTCAGTGTATGTAACCATTACCCATTATTTATAGTCTCTGGTATTTAGCAGAGTTTATCAAATATGCAGGATTTAAAGGGTCTTTTATCTTCAGTAAAAGCTTAAAATTTAAATTTGTTATTCATAAGTAGCTCTGGAGTCTCCCTGTTGCTTTTTTCCTCTCTGTAAGAAGTTATCTCTCACAGGCAAATAGGACCTAGACCTGCAGTCATTTTCTATTCAGAAAAAAATACACCACACCTTACTGGAATGGCCTGAAAGGTGCTAGTGACTGATGGATGAAGTTTCATAGTCGTGTGCTTGGGCTGAATTGCCTCTTTTGTTGTAACACTGATACACCAGCATTTTGGGTTTAAAAAAGAAAATGCAAGCAATTTATTTGGAAGTTGTATGTTGGGGTTTTTATCGTGTTTTTGTTTGAAATTGTAAAAGATAATGCAAAAGCATTAAATTAAATAAGAATTCATGTACACAAAGTGTTGGATGTTTTGTACAAAGTGAGTGAAAAATATGCTTTCTGTTTTCAGCGGAACTTTCAGGTTTGCTCTTTATAGGAGATGCAATTCTACAGGTGAGTAAAACTGCAAATTATTTTGTCTGTATTTTTCTGTAAAAGTGAAATGAAATCTATGCTTATGAAATGTAGAGTAAGTCTTCTCTTTATCTTTTTAATAACAGATTAATGGAATTAATGTGAGAAAATGCAGGCATGAAGAAGTGGTGAGCTTTTCTGTTTTTTAGTCTACTTTTTGTCTCTTGTAGTTGCTGAAATGATAGTGTGCAGTGATAGTAATGCAGTGGTATCAGCTGTCTTACTGTTATTCCTAAACAAATATGACTGTACCTTCTAACATGATAAGCAACAAAGTGCAATCTTTTCTTCCTAAATCTGTCTAGTTGCTCTTCTCAGATAAGCTTTTCTATATTAAAGGTGATTGTTTTATTATGAAGACTTGAGCTGTACATATTCCATAATTTCTTCTTCCAGCTAATAGCTGTCAAATTTCAGCAGTGCTACACCTTTCTGGCTGTGTGGGGTCATTTTAATTTCAACAGCTGTAATTTGCACTATGTTGGAGATTTGTTGTTTTGTTACTTTTAATCCTATTTAAAAAGTTAGAGAAAACTATTCATCTGCCACTCATCCTCTGGCTGTTCCTTATGAGGGTGTTCGTCTCCTTTAGTTAAGGTGCTGTCATTTTGGGTAGAGAATAAAATTTTATTAAGGAGATTTCTTCTAGAGAAGAATTTTTTGAGTGGTCTGTAATAGGCTGGTTCCACTGGTGAATCAGCTTTGTTAAATGCATCATGTACCTTCATCATATTTGACTTTTTGACGCTTTTAAAATACTTTCAGAAGCAGAAAACTCTTTATTTCAATAAACAATGCCAGAAATTAGAATATTACCAAAGAAATTACCTTTAAATTCTGTTTAGCTCCATAGCATTTGTACCTGTATTTTTAAAACAACAATGTAGTGATATATTTGAAAGCTTATCTTTCTGAATCTTTGCCAATTCAGTGTCGCTCTTTGTGTTTCATCCAGCATTCTGCCATATGACAGATCATTGAACATGTGCTGTTCAGGTATAGAAGGCAGGATTTAATACAGGTGAAGTTCTGATGAACAAGTTTAGTGCAGGCTGAAAGCTTAGATCACTGCACTGTTCTTCAGAGTGCTTTTGCACTCCTGTTTCCTTTAGGAAATCTGTACTGCAAATCCTGCTTCATTCTTCAGACCCTTAACCATACCCCCTTCTGTATATAATAGCTAATAGTCATATTTATATTGCTTTTAAGTTCTGTCTGTGCAACACTGATCAGGTTGTAAATATTTTATAAGTTTGCTGGAGTTGATTTGTTTTATATGCATTAATATGGAATCTCAGTGGGATTTAAATGTTGGAATTTAAATGTTGGAATTACGAAACATGAGAAAGATATTACTAAAAGTGTAGCCTTGTACCCTTGAATACATGTTAAAAAATAATAAGGACATCAGGATTTTATTTTTCTAAGGCATTCTCTTAACCCTCAAAATGATACATGAATCTGTTGGGTATTTCTGATAAAGTTGAAACCCATTCACAGGAAGAAAATAGATTTTGGAAAAGGTGAAAGGGGGGATTGACATAAAGTAGCAAGTGTTATGATGTTAAAATTTGATTTATACCTTGTTTATCTAACATAATCTGCTTTTTAAACTCCTTGTAGATAATTCTCTATGAATGAAAAAAATGATATCTTACCAGTTTTGAATGTACATTTATGTATTTGCAAATGTTTTGGGAATTTAAAAAGCAAATAAATTTTAAATTAAACCCTCATTTTAATTCAGAATATTTTTTAAATATTTTTTAAATATTTTAAATATTTACAGCAAATATTGACTAATACTTAAATAGGATCAAATGTCCATATGACATTTTATAAAATAAAATATAAAATAAAATAATATATAAATATATAATATAAATTGAAAAAAAGCCAGAGTAAATGAACTCTGATAATCCCTTTTTTTTCCCAAAACATTCACTGTTATATGCTTAGTATTTATGGAGTAAATTTGTTGTAAAGCTACTATAGTAGTAATAATATATGTGGTTCTCCATTGTGTGGTAAGCTGTGGATTTAGGCTTAGTCATCAGTAAAGAGTAAGTTCATCAGCTGGTGTGCCAGCAGGAGTCATGGGTCTGCAGCACATCCTTTGCAGATTGACTTGTTCTAGGACTTCTGTCCTGTGGGGTCTTTATCAAATACAGGATCTCTAGCTCTAGTCTCAAGGCAGTATAGAGAAAATAAGAAGCGTTTGGAGCCTGTTTGCTTGCAGCAGGGAGTTGAACAGGAGTTGAAACTTAATTTTCAATCCTTATTGCATCAAGGTATTTTTGAAATGGCTCTGCATGACATCTGAACTTGTCGCTTTGTTTCGTTCTGGTTTTTTTCTGTACCTAATTAAGGCTTAGCAGGTACAATGTTCTCTAAGGATATGTTAGTGTTTGGGTTGTCTTAATGTCTTAGAAAATATTCATTGTAAACCAGTGTGTAATTTTTTTCAGTGGGTAATGCTGAAGATACCTGTAGAAAATTCAGACTTGTATCTGCAGTGTGACTCTGATTAGCATTCGTTCTTTTCCTACATGCAAAACATGTTTCTGCTTGTGGAAACTTCTTAATCATATGTCATATCTTCATAGCTCTGCACTGAAAAAATCTGTGGCATAATCACTGCAGCCTATCGTATGAAACTGATGATTAGTAGACCCTGGTATTTCATCTTGCTTTACTGATAACCATACTAGGTATATAAAATGTTTTGAGTTCCAAAATTAGGTATTTTAATCAAACTCATGGCATCTTTCATAGCAAGGAGAATCTTTCCCCAGTGATCTTATTTAACGTTGTGGGCACTTTGTTGTCTTTAGTGTCTTTCATTACTTTTGATACACTAGTTTAGATAGATAGATGGATAGATAGATAGATGGATAGATAGATAGATAGATAGATAGATAGATAGATAGATAGATGGACTAATATACTCTCATAAGGTTTAGTCAGTTCTTAGAGCACTTTACTGGAAGCCTTTACATGGTTCCTTTGTGATTTTTTTTTTAGCTTTAGGTGAATCACTTAATCTTGAGTTTAGTTTTCTGCTTGTAGAAGGTGAAAATATTGTTCATACCATGAAAGCCCATGATGAGTTTCTATCAAAGACTGACTGTCAGCTTGTTGTTTCTCTTGGGTTGTAAAGAGCCCCAAATGAGTACAGCATAACATTGCTTCAGTCTTAGTGCTCTCATGTGGTAAAGACATGCTCTCTCTGGTGAATACTGGAGGAAGCTGCAGGAAAAAAAATAAACTAGCAATTATCTTAAAAAATATCTCTCAGCATCTCTCAAACTGGCAGTTTCCCCCCAAAATGAACTTCCGCAATATGAAGTTACATGTAGAAAAAGAGTCCATTATATCTGTTTAAATACACAACTTTGTGCTCTTTTTATTCAGGATGTTTTAATTATTCCTTTTTCAGTAGACTCTCCTTTAAATTTTGCAACAAGAATTTTAGAAGGCTGAAATTAGGATTACTCACAGACAGACATATGAGTTTCGGCTTTTGTCTAATTAATAAGGTCCAAACATGCATAGCTTGTCAATCCACACACCTGATGGATGTGGTTATCCACCATAATAGATATGGCTATTTATAAGGCTGAAAATTAATGTATTTCTAGATTTTACCTCCATTAATTGTCCAAACATAAAGATGGATAGACAAGCACCAACATAATACTGTTGTGTGGATGTTTTTGGTGATTCTGAGTCTAGCCACATCACTAAAAGTGGACAAGATTTAGTAAGAGAGGGAGAGGCCCTTGAGCCACATCTGAGTGGCTATGAGTAGGAGAGTATGTCAGTTCAGTTGGATGCTACAAAAAACCTGTGTTGGATTTACTGTTCAGGGTTGTAGTGCACCAAATCATCTAGAGCCAAGGTAGAATCCTGTTTGAATGAAGGCTGATATGTTTAAGATTGTCTCTGTTCTTAATGTTGTGAATAAAACATCTCAGGTAGTATCAATAACTATAGTTACATATCTCTTTGGATATTAGCATCAGTTTTTTTCTCTTAGAAAATGGAAGAAATTAAATGATGTGAAGTAATTTCTTATTTCTTCTTTTTGGGGAACATTCAGGGAATGTTTCAAATGAAAACTGATAGCTCTCATGTGTTGGTTAATGTGGCATTTGGACAATCCTTGAAAAGCAACAGGAAGAGCTCATGTAGTGGCAGGTAGCTATAAAGACAGAATAGATATTCAGGCTTTGATGGATTTTATGTAAAGGTAACTACAATATGTAACACCGTGGTTCAATTCAGCCAGTGATTGTATTTTGAACAAGACACCATTTTTTTCCAGCAGAATGATCTGATGTGAGATGTCCTCAAGCACTGAACCTTTTGTTTCCCCCTTTTTTCAACATTCACAACAGGGTTGTAACTGCTGACTCTCCATGAGTCATTTATGTTACATGAAAATGACAGTGTAGAGATTGTTGTTGCTTAACTGCATTCATCTGCAGCTAATGCACATCTTACTCCGGCCTTTCTCTTTAAAACTATGGCCTCATTCAAACTGATTTTTAAAACTCCTTATGAATAGTTTTGGCAGTGTTTTGGTAAATGTTTTTAAGCAGAAGAATGAGCATATTGTATTTTTAAGACAGAACTGGAAACCAAATGATGTGAAATATCACTCCATCTTGACTTTGCAGATGTGTCTTTTGGTAAATTATGTTTTTGTCCTATCTTTGTTTCTTTAACTATGAATCAGACACCAAAACTATTATCAGATTTAGCTCCCTGAATTCTATGAAGTACTTCTGAATCTGCTATAGAAAAGTACCCCTGCATTAATATTTTGGAGTTTCATGAAGTAACAACAGCAACCTGCAAACACAGATTGCCACTTTCTCATGTTGCAGAGATCCTGAGCTTTATAACTCACAGCACAGCCATTTAATCCTTTCTCCTCTAGACAGAATGGCAGCTTTAAATGTGGAAGCTGCACAGTCAGTGCTTCTAAGACTAAAATCAATCTAACTTCTGAATTTAAAAGTGAAATGTAAACTTTCTGTAAGTCCAATACTTTTTCTATACAGCTGCTGTTTTCTATCTGAGACTTGAGTACTACTACTACTACTACTACTAATAATAATTT